GGTGGTGGGGGCTTAGGGCCCCTTGGACTGGCTCCCTTTATGATGAATGAAAGATGGTCTGTCATCAGCATATGGTGTCATGTGCAGAATCTGAGATGGAGTTGGAGAAATAGTTCAATAAGGCCCCAACTTCTTTCCTCCTTGTTTAGATTTTTGTATTAAGCAAAAATGGGATCAAACCACAAGGAAGTTTAGCGACTTCCTGTATTCACACTGCATTATTAGATCATGTCATTTCTCAACTCAACTCTCCTGTGGCTCCTTCTCACCCAGAATGAAAGTCAACATCCTTGTAGTGGCCTGCCAAATTCTGTACAATCTGGCCCTGGGTACCTCTTGGACAGAATCTCCCACTCCTGCCCCTCACTCCCTTTAGCCATACCGGCCATCTTGCTGTTCACTCGACACACCAAGCACACTCTCATCCCAGGATCTTTACACTGGCTATTCCTTCTGCATTGAATTCCTTCTCCCTGTTATTTGCAGAACTTGCTAGTTCATCACCTCCGTCAAGTCTTTGTTCAAATGACATCTTCTTCCTGGAGTCTTCCCTGACGATCTTATTTGAAATGGCAACCCTCCCTTCCCTCATTTCCTCAGACTCCTTATTCCTGTTGTATCATGCTCCATCACAGGTGCCACCATCTGACATTCTATGCATTTTTGTTATTTAGGTGCTTATTGTCTGTCACCCTCCTTTAAAATACAGATTTCAGAAGGACAAGGATTTTGTTTTGTTCATTGCTATGTCTTTAGCCCCTAGAATAGAACCTGGCACACAGTATAGATTTAACAAATATTTGTTACTTCTTTTTGGTTGATGTAAATTAATCACAGAGCTTTTAGGAATTCCATTCCATTTATTTATTTATAAATGTATTCACGTTTATTTAACTGACTTTCCTTTGATGGACAGCATCTACTGGCTTCATTGTTTTGTTATTAAAAACAATGCTACAAAATCTAGACTGTGAACAACATTACAGACAAATGATTTGGTTTCTTCAGTCAAGAAATTGCAAGGAAAAAGAGAGAAATGGGTGGTGTTGGTGGTGGGGATTACAAGAAACTCAAGAGACACCTCAACAAATAGCAATGTGTGAACCTTCACAGGACCTTGATTCAAATAAGTAAGCTCTTAAACAATGTATTATTTGAAGTTTATGATATAATTGGCAATTTGTTGGGTGTCATAATGGCACCATGGTTATGTCAAAAGAATAAAGACCTCACCTTTTGAGATATTAAAAAAAAGAACATATACTTCCTATTCACTAGGTGGAAATGGATCATCCTACAGGAGAAGGAGGAGGAAGAGGAGGGTTTGGTCTTCGTCTCCCATGGGTGGCAGAGATGGAAGAAAATCCATGTATAAGTGGACCCACACAGTTCAAACCTGTGTTGTTCGAGGGTCAACTGTATATGGGGGTACCAGATTAGCTAAAGGTTGAACATTTAGTGACAAACTAAATAGAGGCCCCTGTACCCATAAAGATTATGGACAGGAGATGGGACAAGAACAAGCACATATGGAGTTGTAACCTGTGATAAATGCTCTGACAAAAATGAGTGTAACACGTAACACAGGAAGAGGAGGGTGAGCCCACTTACCTGGGGCAGTTAGCTGAGGCTGCCCAGGAGGTGACACTGTAGTGAGCACCTGAAGAAGGAGGCTAGTTCTGAGAGGACCAGGATTGATTCAGGCATTGGGATCATGGGCAAAGGTCTTCTGGTGACAAAGAGCTTGGTGCCAGTGCTTAGCACCATGTGAGAGCAGAAGGGTGGCAAGGCACGAGATAAACATGCTTCAGATGAGAAATGAGGCAGAAGAGGAAATAGTAGAGCTTCTGATGTGAGGGGACTGGTGACCAGAGGGACCACTGGATGAAAGAACGGGGGCCTTGCTGAGATCAGAGCTATGTGAACAAGGCACCATCATGAACCTCCCAGACCAGCCAGTCTGGCCATCATTTGACTGAACCACATGCACAATTCTGGGTGGAACCAGAAGAGCCACCCAGGCAACCTATAGAATTAGGGAACTCATCAACTGTTGTTTTAAACCACTGTGTTTTAGGTGACTTGCCATGCAGCCATAGGTCACCAAAGCAGAACATATAAAATATCTAAAAGGTCAGGTATAGTGGCTTACACTTGCAATCCCAGCACTTTGAGAGGCCAAGGTGTGAGGATCACTTGAGGCCAGGAGTGAGAACAGTTTAGGCAACATAGTGAGACCCTGTCTCTTAAAAAAAAAAGCAAAAATTAGGTAGGTGTGTTGGCACACACCTGTGGTCCCAGCTACTCAGGAGGCTGAATTGGGAGGATAGCTTGAGTCCAGGAGTTAGAGGCTGTAGTAAGCCATGATTGTGCCACTGCACTCCCGTCAGGGTGACAGATAGAAACCATGTCTCTAAAAATAAAAATAAAAATAAGGTACCTATAAACTAGGCAGGGGCACTGAATGGCCTCCTGTCTACCCTGACATCCTTGTGGACCTCGAGGTTTGTCACAGAGCTCAACAACCTTCTCTTGGTCTAGAATTACCTAAAAAGGGTTGAGTGTAGCCAGGGATATGGTCCATGAGTCCAGATGCTGAGGGGTTGAGGGCAAGGCTGAGGGGACTAGAGGTGGGGATAGCTGCCCAGAGCTGGGAGAGGGCAGAGTTCAAAGAATGTGACCTCCATCTAACTCCAGATGTTCCTGGGGGTGGAGACTATTTCCAGCAAGAAATGGAAGGGCTGGAGCACTTCCCAGTACACACAGTAGCCGTTGGGAACCAATCATTGCAGGTGGGCGGGGCAAAGGTCCTGGACAGCAAGATTAAGGTTGCAAAACAAAGTTGGGACCAGAGTGTCTCTATAGTTGAGGAGTGGATCTGGCCTCACTTGTTAAGTATAACTATGAGCATTTACTTTCAACTTGAGAGTAGAACCACCTGTCCCCTCTGAGACTTACAGGGATAAAAAAAACTGACAGTGAATGGTAGGACTGGCTCGAGGGCTGCAGTAGTGCCAGTACTCACAAGTGGGACCATCTCCTGCCCCGACTTCCAAGAACTGGGTGCCCTGGGAAGGATCAGGGAGGTGCATTTCTCATCATAAATACATGGACAACATGCGGATGAACCACTGGATGAGAAAATGAATGAATGAATAAACAAAGCTTCTTGTCCCTTCTCCGGGAATTAGCACTCCCTAGTTAATTCCTCATCACCCATCAGCCTGTGCTGAGAAGGGAGGAGGGAAAGGTCATTGATGTGGCTGCAGCTGTGACTGGACAGAGGGTGGTCAAGATGCCCAATGCTTGCCTAGGCCCTCCCCTCCCCTTGCCTGGCCTGTTGGAGCTGCTGGCCAGGGAGGCAGCAAGAAGAAGGGTGGGCTTCCAGAGTTGCCTAGCCAGGTACCAGGGTGGGGAGGAGAGAATGGATGTGGGCAGCTTGAGAGCATGCAGGGGGCTCATCTGAGTCAAAGGTGTGCTTCCTCCTCATGTGTTTGTGAGTAACGTGTCCTGGTGTACACCCACTTGCTAATAATAATATTCTTGAGAGCTAATAAAAGGTGCTTAATACGACCTAGTCCACCTGGGGTCACTTCAGCCATATCACAGGCTTGTGCAGATCCAAGGGGACAGACTCCAGCATTTTGGTGAAGGACAAGCATGTGGCACAAGAGACCTTTTGAGTCATCCTGGAATGACTTCTGGCTATGATTTGAATGTTTGCATCTCCCCAGAATTCCTATGTTGAAATCCTAACCCCAAAATGATGTTATTAGGAGGCGAGGCATGGGGGAGGATTAGGTCATGGGGACAGAGCCTCATGAATGTAATTAGTGCCCTTATAAACAAAGCCCAAGAGAGGTTGCTCATCCCTTCCGCCACTTAGGTTACAGTGAGAAGATGGGTGCCTATGAGTACACAAGTGCACCCTCACCAGACACGGACTCTACCAGTGTCCTGATTTGTATATCCCAGTTCCAGAGCTGTGAGAAATACATCTCTGTTGTTTACAAGCCTCCTGGTTAATGGTACTTTGTCACAGCAGACCTAAAGAATGGAAACACTTCTGCATTAGTTGTGTAGGGCTACAGTATCAAAGTGCCACAGACTGGGTGGTTTAACAATGGAAATGTATTTTCTCCCAATCCTGGAGGCCAGAAGGCCAAACCCAGGTGTTGCAGGGTGGATTCTTTTGGAGGGCTCTGAGGGAAGGGTCTGCTCTAGTCTTTCTCCTTGGCTTGCAGGTTCCACTTTCTCTGTCGCTTCATACCATCTTCCCTCTGCCTGTCTGAGTTCAAATTTCCCCTTTTATAAGGACACCAGTTGAACTGGACCAGGGCCCCACCCATATGACCTCATTTATCCTTAATTCCCTCCTCCAAGGCCTTGCCTACAAATGTAGCTATACTGAGGGTTGGTTCTTCAACCTACGGATTTGAGGGACACAATTCAGTCCATGCCAGGGCCAAGTGTGCCTGCTGAGTAAGCCAGAGAGTGGGAAGAGAATGGTGCTAGGTAGGTCCCTTAAGACTTCTTTCTTAAAGACCCCTGTCACTCCTTTTCATTCTAGGTGGGACAGATGCTGGGTTGAGGGCAGGGCTGGAGTGTGGAAGAGGCAGAGCATCCCACTCCCCCTGGGGTCCCCAACGTCTTCTGCTGTACAAAGCAGGTGTTTTCACCACCATTTAAATTTGGGCAAGGAATTTATTTACGTGGGGCTCAGCTTCCTCAGGGAAGTTGAGGTCACTCCCTCAGGGACCTGAGCCTAGAAGTCGGCCTCCAGGGTATAGGTCTGAGAGTTTCCAGCAGGTGCTTCCTCCCCAAATGCTTCCACAGGGCAAGAACAAAGCCGCAAAGGCTGCCACTGGGCCGCTCCAATAACCACTGCTGCAAACCCAAGAAAGTTTAGTGTGTACTGGCCCCACCCCTCAGAGCAGGGAGGAGGATGCTGGCCCAGCTCGTCAGGTCCTAAGAAGCCATGGCCGCCGGAGGCAGAGCATTGCAGGTTTGCACCATGTCCTTGACTCCTGTCCTGCTCGTACTCCTTGTCTACTGCACAGGTGAGGGAACCCCTGGAGCCCACAGCCCCCTGTCCTTTCCCTTCCCTTGTCCTGGTCCAGGGGCCCACATGTTTCTGTGTCCCCAGGTGGTGGCCCTCAGCCAGTGCTGCATCAGCCGCCATCTGTGTCCTCATCCCTCGGAACCACAATCCGCCTCACCTGCACCCTGAGCAGCGATCATTACATCGGTGTTTACAGCATCTACTGGTACCAGCAGAAGCCAGGCCACTCACCTAGGTTCCTGCTGAGATATTTCTCACACTCAGACAAGAGTCAGGGCCCCGAGGTCCCTCCTCGCTTCTCTGGATCCAAAGACATGGCCAGGAACAGGGGCTACTTAAGCATCTCCGAGCTGCAGCCGGAGGATGAGGCTATGTATTACTGTGCGATGGGGCTCCAGAGCTCGGAGAGAAGGGAGAAAGCTAAAGAGAGGGAAAGGAGGGAAGACTCGGAGCCTGCTGCACTCCGGGACACACGTACCTTGGCCTGAAGTGGGGCACCATCCACTTGGAGAAGCCAGCGTGGAGGAGGAGGCCATGGAAGCTTGCAGAGCTGAGGACACTGCTGCTTGGTTTCCTCCTGCCCTGCAGTTGCTGTAAACCCCGCTGGAGCCCGTGTTAGGGTATTAAAGCTGTTTGTGTCTTTTTGCTGAGTTTGGTCTGACTGGTGCATGGTCTTGTAGGACCAACCTAGGGCAAAGGCCCCAGGAGACTGACCAAGGTGCTGTGGAGAGTACTCTATGGGTCATGGGAAGCAAGGGGCTGACAAAAGTACTTCGTAGGGGAAGACATCCTTGCCAAGGACAGGAGCCTCTATCCTCTATTGTCATCTGATTCTGCTCAGGAGTTACAGGATTAAAAAACCTTTGCAAATGCCTTTACTGGGCTGCTGGGGAGGAGAATGAGAGCCAGGTGGTGGGTCTACGGCAGGTTCCCCACCCTGGTGAAACTGATATTATGTGCTGGACAGTTCTTGGTTGTGAAGCTGTCCCATGCATTGTAGGATGTTGAGCAGCATCCCTGGCCTCTACTTATCAGTGCCTCCTCCCTACCCCAATTGTGACAACTAAAAATGTCTCCAGACATTGCCAAATGTCCCCTAGGTGGCAAAGTGGCCCTGATTGAAAACCACTGGTCTAGATGAGAGAAACACATTTATTCTTCTGCACAGAAGAGTGATAGGGGGTCACATGGTCTTTGTCACAACTGCTCAATTCTGTCTGTAGCGAGAAAGAGCCACAGACAATCTGTGAACAAATGGGTTTGGCTATGTTCCTATTAAACTTTAGTCACAGAAACAGATGGGACTGGTTTGGGTAGGGCACTCAGGCCAGTTCACCAATTCCTAGTCTAGAAAACGCCCCAGGTTTTAGCCAAGTCCTACTTGGTGGGATTATCAAAGTCCCCCTCAACTCCTTCTACCTGATGACCACAGGAATCCTGAGCCTCGGGGCCCATGAAGAAACCTAGAGGCACGAGGGAAGTGGTCTTCTTGAGGCTGCACTGGCTTCTTGGGTGACAAGGAATGACGAAATTCCCACAGCTGTGGCCCAGAGTGTGATCCCTTGAGCTCAAGGATGGCAAGTCTGAATGTGCCCTACAGAGAGGGACCCTTCATGCAGGCATCCACACAGTGTATAGATATGCCTCACACTCAGAGAGGGGTTGGGCAGGCCATCTCCCTCATGGCCCTAAACTTAGTTGAAACCACCCATTCACTGTGGCTAAAAAGACTTTGAGTCCACCACAGAGAGGTGGACGCATGCCAATATCGGTCCTTCCACAAGTGACCTGTGAGTCTCTCTTTTGTACAATGGTCTCAGTTTCATGCCATGTTCTGGGGACTGTCAGGGCTTTTGCTTCCTCACATTCACTGAGTTCTTTCTGTATCAGGTTTTTGTATCTGGGAAGAGCCCATGTTTTTAAAGCCCAGCTAGGTGGCTCCAAAATAACTCTGTCTTTTGCTTGTAGCCTGTCCCCTCTTCATCCTTGGTGATTCTGAGATTCCATGCCATGGCAAGAAATCTAGAAAGTCGGAGTTGAGTCGAACAGCTTCAGTATCCCAATACCCCAGCCTCACCGGCTCAAGAGAGGCCTAATCTCTGGATGTGGGCCTCAGACCAGGCAGTGTGAGTCTTAGCTCTGGCTGGCCCTGGTAGGGACACTTGAAATCTAGGCCAGAGTTGCCAGTGTTGTATATAAAGGGATAATAACAGCATGGATTAATTTATGCAAAGTGCCTAACCATCATGGGCACTCAACAAAATAGTGGCATTATTATTTCCTTATCAGTCACTAATCTGGCATTCTTCCTCTTGTCAAAGCCTTTTCTTTAGTCTGAATCATTTCTCACCTTGACCATTATCTGGCCTCCTGGTCATAGATCCCTCTGCTGTAAATTGTCACCCTGCACTTGTCACCTTCATTACTCCTAGATCTAGTTTTGCCTGCACTCCTCTTCTCTAAACTTTTGTTGTCTCTGCTATTCTAGGGCACATATGCAAGCCACATCTGTAATTTCCAATTTCCTAGTGGCTGCATGGTAAAATTTTTTTTTTAGAGAAACAGGAAAAACAATTTTTGATAATATATTTTTAAAGTCCAGGTGTGGTAGCTCACATCTATAACCCCAGCGCTTTGGAAGACTGAAGAGTTCAAGACCAGTCTGGGAAACACCAGGACATGACATATCTACAAAAAAAATTTAAAAATTAGTGGGCCATGGTTGTATATGCCTATAGTCCCAGGTACTCTGGAGGCTGAGGTAGGAGGTTCTCTTAAGGCCAGGAGGTGGAGGCTGCAGTGAGTCAACATCATGCCACTACACTCTAGTCTGGATGACAGAGTGAAACTCTGTCTCTTAAAAAAATGTAATATTTTAAATTTAACACAATATATCTAAATATTATCATTTCAACTTATAATCCATATAAAAATTGGTTACTAGATAGTTTAAACTGTTTTTTTACTCTTCAAAACCCAGGATGTATTTTATATTTATGGCTCATCTTAATTTGAGCCAAACACATTTCAAGTGGTTAACAGCTGCATCTGGCTTGTGAAAACTCAGCACAGGTTTTAGGGATACAATTCATACTCCTTGCCATGACAAAACCTTCAGAGGCTGGCTCAGACTCTGTCCCAAGTCCCAATTCTTGTGCACACCTTCACTGTCAGTTTCTGCCTTGTTACGCCAATTGTATTTGATTAAACATCTGATTCTCTCGGTTGCCTCCAAACATTCACCCATGCTGTTTACTGCCAGGAGGACTTCCTTTCCCTTTGCAGTGTTCCCCAGATGGCTGCAACGACTCAGGGTCCCACAGTTGTCTCAGATCTTACTCCTTAGGCAAGACTTCCTTGACCTCTTTATTTAGCTATGAATTTCCTCCAGTGTGCAAACATCATGTCTTCCTACCAACATTTAGCACCTATTACACGGCTTTAAGTTTACTTAGCAAGGCTCCCTCCTCCACTACTCTGCAAATTCTTGGTGGGCAGGATCTTTTCAACTCATGTATGTGCCTAACAAAAACTTGGCATGAAGATGCAAAGTAATGTACAGACAGATTCCATGCACCTCTCTCCCAGTTTCTCCTACCATTAGCATCTTGCATAATTATAGTACAATGTCAATTTTAGGAAATTGACATTGGGGCAATCCACAGAACTTGTTCAGACTTCTCCAGTTATACATGCATTTGTGTGTGTGTGTGTGTGTGTGTGTGTGTGTGTGTGTGTACATCGGTACAGCAATTTTATCACACATGTAGTTTTGTGTAAAGTCATCAATCCAGATATTTATCTCTGCCATCCCCATAGTCTCCTTCAGGCTACACTTTTGTCACTACACCCATCCTTTCACCTCTCCCATCTCTGACTCCTGTCAAGCACTAATCTGTTTTCCATCTCTAGAGTTTTGTCATTTCAAGAATGTTATATAGGCCAGGCATGGTGGCTGAAGCCTGTAATCTCAGCAACTTGGGAGGTCAAGGAGGGAGGAATGCTTGGGTCTAGGAATTCAAGAGCAGCCTGGGTAACATAGTGAGACTTTATAAAAAAAATTAGCTAGGCATGGTGGTGTGTGGCTATAGTCCCATCTTCTCAGAAGACTGAGGCTGGAGGATCACTGAACCCAGGAGGTCGAGGCTGCAGTAAATTGTGATTGTGCCACTGCACTCCAGCCTGGGCTACAGAGTAAGACTCCAACTGAAAAAAAAAAAGAAAGAAAAGAAAAGAAAGGAATGTTATATAGATAGAAGCATACAGTCTGTGTAACGTTTTTGACTCAATGTAATTCCCTCAAAGTTCATCCAGGTTGTGGCATGTATCAATAGTCTATTCCTTTTTATTGCTGCACAATATTCCATTATTTGGATTGCACAATTTGTTTAACTATTCATTCTTTGAAAGATATTTGGGTAGCTTCTAGTTTGGGGCTGTTATGAATAAAGCTACTATGAATGTTTGTATATGAGTTTCTTTGTGAACTTAAGTTTCTATATTCCTGGGATACTTACTCAGCAGTACAGTTACTCCACTGTATGGTAAGTTCTTTTTTTTTCAGTTTTACAAGAAATTGCCAAACTATTTTCCCAAATGGCTGTACCACTTTACATTCCCACTAATGATGTGTGACTGATTCAGTTTTTTACATCCTTGTCAGCTATTGGTGTTATCCCCTTTTTTATTTTAGCCATTGTGCTAAGTATGGAGTAACATCTCATTGTGGTTTTAATTTGCATGTCCTTGATGAATAATGTCATTGGACATTTTTTATGTGCTCATTTGCCATGTATAAATCCTTTTAGAGAAATATCTGTTTATGTCTTTTGCACATTTTCTGTTTGTTTTTTTTAGTGTTGAGTTTTGAGAGTTCTTTATATATTCTAGATACAAGTTTTTGTTGGATATATGATTTGCAAATTTCCCTGTCACTCTATAGCCTTTCTTTTCATCACCTAAACAGAGTCTTTCACAGAGCAATATTTTTCATTTTGATGAAATTTGATTGATTGACTTTTTTTGTCATGGGAAATTTTTACTAGAAAACCTGTTAGACAAATTCTAAGAGAGCTGTAACACTTATTGACTTTTCCTTTTACAAATCCTACTGATGGGGTCAAGCCTAAGAAATTTTGTCTTAGGCCTGTGTCCTGGAGATTTTCTCCTATGCTTTTTCTAAATGCATTAAACTTTTATAATTTTACATTCAAGTCAGTAATTCATTGTGAGTTTTTTTTATAAGGTGAGATTTAGGTCAAAGTTTCTTTTTTGCCTACAAATATCCAATTGTCTAGCACCATTTGTTGAGAAGGTGATCTTTTCTCTATTGAATTGTTTTTTGAAAAATTAATTGTGTATATTTGTACAGGTCTTTTTCTAAGTTCTCTACTTTGTTTCATTAATCTATGTGTCTACCCCTCTGCAGTACTGTCCTGTCTTGATTATTTACCTATATAAAAAGGCCTAACTTTGTGAAGAGTGATTC